TCAAGCGCTACGGCATTTTGCAGCTGAAAGTACAGCTTCGCCTAGCAGCTGTCAAAGAATGACACTTGCGTGGCTGCGCCAAAAGCCATGCCTCTCGCTGTTCGCATTAGCTTTCATCATGATAGTATACTATTATTCAAGCTTTGCAGGTTGTAGAAAAGTGGAAGTCAACATTTGCATACATGGTATAATACAGCGCAAGCGCGAATGCACGGACAGAGTGGAACATCAAGTGGAGGGAACCTTCTATATCATACTCTTCACTTTGCACCAAGCTCCTCATCGCAATCATAATTTTCCAACAACCCACCCAAATTTCCATCACTGTGCTCGCTTTATGCAAACAAAATATAGAAGAAAAGGGATGCTCAAGGTTACCTCCATGTCATATTCAATAGTCTGCATTAGTAGAGTCGGTAGCAAACGTTATTCTACTTCACAAGTTACACCACTCTAGTTCGCATCGAAAGGTAGCCTGAAATTCTGGAAAACGTGCAGGCATCCACTCACTTCCACAATGAGGCGACACTGCCTTCCAATTACTGGACCGAGTGAAACATTAATATCGGAGCCAGCTCTCCCATGCTCGTTCATACAGAGAATCACGTTGCGCCACAAGTAAAACTCGACGCACGTCTTCAATGCATAGCACGTCCATCCTATATGCGCCACTGCGTTGCCTTGTCGACCAAATGCCCTGCAGGCGCTTCTCGAAGCGGATTGCTTTTGAATGAAGTGCTGTTTCAACTAGGGCTCAGCTAAGCCTGTTTCTTTGTTTTTATAGATTACTCAGAGAACGTCAGACTAGAAGGAAAGAAATAACAACGAGGATTTGCTCCCTGCTCGATCGTATCCTTGCACGCGGGCTACGTGAGAACCATGTGGGAGTCAGTCGATGTCTTACAGACAGCCTCTAGAGAGCCTGTTCAGGAGCCCTTGGCTGGAATAAAATATTCGGATGCCGAGAGCAGGACAGGGTTTGGTGCCTTAATGAACCCCTTGCACGTCCCTATTCGATACGAAGAATATCGAACGATGATGCGGCTCTGGTAGTCATTCACATGTGTAGCACTAGCCACATTTAGTTCCCTAGCACGCTCGCTCAGAGTTTGAATCCAAGCGCGTTGCGTAACGGCTGAAAATTGCCATGAGGCTTGCGAAACGATATGGTTCGTTCTTTTTTTAACTAACTGAACGCGATGGAGACACGAAAACATTGCGTTATTCGTAATGTGGAAGGCATTGTTCCCATAGCCCTTTAAGAGTGCGCAACGATACAGCCATGTACGCAGCATTCATTCTTAGTAATAGTTTGAGTGAGATCCGAAAACGTTTGAATATTATAAAAAAGTATTAGAGAAAAGTAAGCAAAATTTTTACACTCACATAAGAAACTCGCAGACAAGAAGGCTGGACGCTATTTTAGCGTAACAAGGAGAAAAAAAAGAGCAGTCACTTTTTCTACTACAGATATTTATGTCAAAAATGTTTGGAAGAGTGTTTGCGTTCCGTTAAGTGCGGGCTCGGTTGCTTTGTATGCTGGAGATAAGCCTACATGAAAAAATCACAGCATATCAATGGAGTGATTGATGATGAGTGGGGCGAAGCGTTCGTCATTTCGCCCTCGCTTCCGTCCGTCCACTTGTTCTTGCTTCCATGCATTCGTCCATCTGTCCGAACCTTCAACCATGCGTCCATTCGTCCATCCATCCGTCCACCCACCCGTCTGCTTGTCTGTCTGTCCATCCGTGCATCCGCCCGTCCATATAGTGAAACGCTCAAGTGACGCCATCTCGCAGCTTTTGATCGCGATCATAGTCGCACGATCGTTTATCTCCTTCCCCTGCGCCACATACCCATCTATCTCCTGTGGCACATACCAAAGTGCGCTGTCGTTGTGCGGTTACGCACAACGACATTGTAGGATGCACAAGTCACGCCATAAGGAGTTTGGCGCCTAAAAGATTCCGCGCGACTCTAATGTTCGACATATATGTGTTGTACCTTGTATGGTGCGGGCGCGAATAGAGTCCAATTTTTGTTCATTTCAATTATTCTTTGCAAGTGCTAATTTATTAAGCTCTGTCAAGATTTATTTATGGCATTTTTCCTCTCTTCATTTCTTCCTCTTTTTCTATACGTTGCTTGCTTCTGCTCGCATTGTAATTCGTGATGTAACTCTCTAGTATGTCGTTTAATTGATGTCAAGAGTTATTGGTCACTTGCTCCAACGAAAATCCGGCATGCTTCACCTCATAAAGTGTAAGGCAGACCTTGCTTTAGCCGACTGTGTAGGCCAGGCTGCTACTTTACGTTGTCCTTGTCTGCATGCAGGAATTTCGCTGACATAATGGCAGAAGACGGTGACGTAAAACATGACTTAATTCACACAGAAGTGTGTCAATCTAAACCAGGGCTCTGATATCATATCTCTCTTCAGCCTTAACTACAGCCATCCTTTATATATAGTTCCGTATTAGGTAGTTTTTTTTAACTAAATATGAAGGCAATATGTGGTATCAAATACTGCGCAAGATACAACAGTGTTGCTCAGTTCTCGTGAAACAAAAAAAATGGACGTTACTAATGCGTAGGTATGTATGGAATAACATTACAAATACGTATAGCAACAACTATATGTGTAGGATTCCATCGTATGTGTTTTCAATATGCTTGGTAAATATATTTTCTTTCCAGTACAAAACCTTTCCAGTACGAAGGAATGTCATTGTTCTCATACGCAACCTCCTACTGCGCGGGCCGTGAACCACGCAAATGGCTCGATGTTAATTAAGTTCCGCCTCCGGGAGAGTTCTTTGAGCTGGGCTTTTCCCTTCACGTTTTAAGACCTTCCCCGCTGCTCATCTGCATACTGCGTGGTTTCTGCCTCGAGTTCGTTGCCGGCTTCTATGGGCGCGATTTTCACGCTGCTCCTTCGCGGCAGCGCTCTCTTGGGAGGGCAGGAGGGCCTGCCTTGTGAACTCTTCCGAGGAAAATTGCGGCAAGGCTGAAGTCCTTGGCAGTATTGAAAGACCCTGCAACGCCCGAGATACGTATGACACCAGCAGCAACGAGTGTGGCGTCATCGAGGAGGCTTCACAGTAGGCCGCGCTTGTGGCCTCATCTCGGAAGTCACGGACTTACTTTCACGCGTGTGATGTTAGCCAGGAGAGTCCGGATATACGTGTTTTCAAAATAGCCAGCTCCAAAGGACATCGAAAGGGAGAGGTTTCATGTTTGTTTACCGTAGCCTTACTTGCGGTTGTCTAAGCCTTCGTCAGTTTTCTTCTTTTTTTTTTTTTCTCTCTGTCCCCTTCTTCCGAAAGAGTAACCAGGTAGTGTCCCCCTCTAGAAGCAATTGCCAGCTTGCTTTCTTCCTCTGTTTTCTGTGTCTTTGTGTATCCGTGTAGGCAAACAAAATAATAAATGTTCTGTCTCTTTTGCAGCCGACTCAATTTTATTTCCACACCATGTTCATCATTAGCATTTTATAAACGTGAACTGTCTGTAGTGTCGTATGAAGGTGAGATAGCTCAAGCTAGGGTAGTTAGGTCCACTATATTCTTTCTGTCAGAGCAGTGAAACAGAACTGCTGCATCTTTCCAGACTCTTTTTGTAGTGACGCATATGCGCCTTGCAGCAACAATGGTTTAAAGGAGAAAAATTCAGGCCTGCACTTTTTAGGGGCGAATATACTTAGGCACGAGCCAGTCTACCTATCCGTTGGCGTGGCACCCTATGGATCTCCATATTCATATTGATATACTGTACATATGTGTTGTCATAGGTTTGGGAGATTGAGTGGGCTATGCACGGGGGTTAATGAGCTACCGCAGCTTTGTCCAATTGTCATCATTCACAGCGTGGATATGATATTTTTTTAGTTCTGATAAGTAAACATTTTCATTTCAACATTGATGAAGGGTTACTATTTGGGATGTTGCTTCGCAGGCAGCGGAAACTGTAGAAATTTATCTGAAACAAAAACTCCCAGATTTGAACTTGAATAGTGTTGCAGTTGCAGTCCGAAGGAACATACGCGTTGGTGCGTATACTCCACTAAACAGTAAAGAGTACGAGGAAGCTCGCTCGAACTAGAAGAAAACGATGTCTCTTATAGCCGCTTGGGCAACCTGTTTTTGTCGTAAATACGGCAGCTCTGCGCTAGTGTGCCCATTATCTTTGTGTACCAATAATAATATCTTAACTGAATAGTAATCGTTTACTACTTTTACTAAGGGATGCTTGAGGCTAGTGATCAACGTACATTATTGATGGTATCTATATAACAGCGCTTATTTCACTGTAATATAAAACGCTATTAAAGCACTGTGTCACAAAATGTTGGCCAACACGTACTTGGCTAGGATGGCAGCATATATTGTGCCTCACGCATTGTTACCAACAACTAAATAAGAAGGGGCTATTTTTGAGGATTCATTGCTGCGGCACGATGCACGTAAAGTTTTTCACACCCTTTTGCAGTGTCTTAACGTGTTAAAGACTCGCTTAGCTTGAAAACGTCAAAAGTGGGCGTCTGCAGAAACTGCAAGACGCGGGAATATCTTTAGCACCTAATTAGGAAATTGCCGCTTCATTCATGCGCCATAAAACAGACAATTGGACCCTCGCCACGGGAATGGTGACCTATATCTTTAAAGGGCTCGCTACTAAGCGTGCGCTGCCAGAACTCGTCCACCAACAAGAAATAGTGGTAAGTGCTCCAACACATGCCTGAACCAGCTACGGACACCAGTCTCCGTCTCGGGCATGGCAAAAACAGCAGATGCTTGCAAGGCACACATTGATCGTTATGTCTCCCCCATTTTAAAATGCCCCCCCCCCGCCTTCCTTTTTTTGTGCCCCATCCATGCGTCGACCACCCACTCTAGGCCCATGAGGGTAGAAAAAAAGAGGAGCCCTAAGCTTTGCAGATAATATTGATGAACTGCAAATAATATTTATGGTTGCCTTTTTCTAACGGCAAAGAGTGCACTTACCAGATACGAATATTTTCCCTGCCACGGTGCTGGAAGCCAAGTGCCCTGTGAGGCGATGTCGGGTTCGGCAACGGTAACTGCGGTCGGAGTCTGCAGCTGTCGTGTTGTGCACAAGCAGTTCGCCACTGTCGAGGAGGGAGTAGCGATCTTCTGCAATGAGAAGAACGAGAAATGCAAGCTCGCTGGACAAAATCAAGTAAGATTTTTATAGTATCAAACTTTTTGAAGCAGACACTATTTTCAGGTGGGCGCACAATTTTATCATAAAATAGCTGCTACGCACAAAGTCCATATCAGGGATCCTTTGCCAGAGCACTGTTGTCGTTGTCTTTCTTTGCTACAAGACGCAAAGCGATATTAGGTTCAACCTACTTCTCCAACATGGTGTTGATATAGTGTACTGGTTTGTGTATATTCTTCAGATTACACAAGCTTCCCATGGGAGAAGCGTATGTTTTCTAAGTGCTCTACTGTGCATGTGACGAAAATGGCGTCCCGCTTGCGGCAGCACTAGCCATCTTGTATTATGGCATTAAGCGGCTAAGCTATTTCTCGTCTTCGCAGGGTTTGTGTTCAAAGCCGTTCAAAACATGACGACATAAATAAAAAACTCCCTACTTTGCCGATATGCCCTTAAATATTTATATGCAGGCCATACGCACACTTTTATGTTAATTTATTTCACGTTTGTAGGAGGGCCAATTGAAGCAAGCTAAATGCCACATTAAGGAGGAGGATCAAGATAGTGCTCTGACTACAAAAATACACTGGCGCTGACCGACACCTGCAGTAGATATTCACATTACCCTAGAAGAGATCGAAGAAGCACAAGAAACGGCGCAGGTTACATACTTTCTGGTACAAGGGCTGGCAGGTGACTCCTCATAGAGATGTTCGTTGTGCCCGCTAAAGTTGAGAACAACTACTTGAACTTCCGAAAAAGCAAAAAAAGACAATATCACTGTATTCAGAACTCCCCGCATTATGCATCCTCTGCGCAATGTAGTAAGAAGGAAGCCCAGAGCTGTGATGCTTCTACATAGGGTGACAGAACTTCCTGGCGGGTGCTGCTTCGTCAAGGTGGGCCAATATGACAACAGCAATATTTTTGCAGCTGTATCATTATACCACAGGGGCTAGACCACCAACGCCGTTTCAGAACGATGCTCTTCGTTGTGTACGGTCGAGCAACTGGTCATTGCCTTGGCGCTTCTGGATGACAAACGTGAACATATACTCAGCGACTCTAGGGTAGCCTTCCGCGTTTGCGCCGTGTGTAAAGAAGCATTTCACATAGTGGAAGGCAGAAGCATCACCACCAACACCTTCACCTGGTTCCCCACTCACATGCAATAAATCAGGGGCATTGCCACAAACCTGAACGAGCTGGCCCACTGCAAGGCACGAGATCCCACTTTCCGCGACCATGAAGAATTCTCTCACCAGCCCGCAGTTTTGGAAAACAGAGATCAAGCGATCACTTACAATAAAATTACCCAGCCCTTTTATATCAGGGGGAGATACTTTCTTCTTCTGAAAAAGAAGTTAAATCGAGCGCAAGCTTTGGCTTTCAGACAAACTTGATATCGGTATTTCAAATCAAAATTAAGTTACAAAAAAAATTTGTAGGAATGACGCATTGCTGAAAGTTTAGGGCAAATTCACTCTATAATCGGCCAATCCCCTTCTTCGGGTACGAGCCATTTGCACAGGGAAACAACAACAACAACAACAACAACTACTGCAGATGGGTTCGTATCTGAGCCCAGCTTTATTGCATGAAATGTATCCCAATATTTACCCTTATAGCTCTTGCAGTCAATGCAACGACCTTGCTAGCCTAGTCCCCATGCTCTCGTGGTGCCCCTTGTTGCAGGGCACGGACCAGTCCAATGAAGACATGTGGAAGACATGTATGAGGAGCCCCTATATCGGGGATCAACGGTGGTCTGTCAGGGCACCCACGAGGCGGCGGTCCGGCTTGGCCTGACTGTCCCACATGAGAGCGGCCCGCTGAGCGTTGAGTCATGCACCGCCAGACTTGAAATAATGTTTAGCATACATCGATGCATACATAAACGCTATAAATGGCATGTATTTCTGGACATTATATGCACAATCCATTTAGATTGCAGGAATGCCAGCGTTGCAAGAATAACTTTCATAGACGTCACTAAAACAGCCAAAGTGGAGCACCAACACGGCTGGTTATTAAATTTGCAGTGTCACGTTAGTTTCAATATATTGCAGGCTGTTTTGTTTGGTTTTCATGTACAAAGGCCCAATAACAGTTTGACGACGTTTTTATCCAACTGAAGCGGGTTAACAATCTAGGATAACACTTCATTGACGTACTCAAGGCCGCTATATTGGTACCATGTTGTACTATGGTCGGACTCGACTCACTTCTCCACTTCACTCACGACCTCTGCAATGACAATCACTCCTGCCTGCAGCCGCGGCATTATGGTAGCGCTGCTAGCTCAGTGTTACACCTCCACTTATATAGTTCACAGACACGCTTCAGGAGGCCGCATACAAGGAATATGTGCGGAACCTATAGCAGGCACATATCATCTCGAAGTTTAATTGTTACTTCAATATTCAATCACATTGCTCAACATCGTGATGCGTATAATTAGCTTACGGCCTTAATTTTGATACCTTCTGCAGCAGACGACACTGGAAAAGCTAACATGGCAGCTTCAGCCAGCAACCACAGTTAGTAAAGCTGAAGTTGAATTTTTTTTTCGGCAAAAGGAAAAGCGGTACATAAAAGAAGGATATGTACAAATTGCCTTTTTACCGAGGGGACCGGCGAAACGGCTTAAAAGCCTGACAAAGAGCCTGCCCCCTGTAAGCCCAAATCCCACCAAAACAACACCACGTTCAGCGTAAAATTAAACATAAACAGGTTGCTACATGCAAATCCCACCTGTGCGAAGATAAAAAAATATATGAGAGAAATTTGCTCAGGTAATGACATCCAGAAAGCATCTACGGGAACAACTAATTAAAAAGAGTTTACAGAATATACTCAAACGCTAATGTGATTTACATTGGGATACATAAAACATAGAACATTAAATTGTAATACAAAAGCACAAAAAGAATGTGAAACAAAAATAATGATGACGGTGATTATGTTTCCGTAGACAGTAAGTGAGCCTTTATCTTCCACTTAAAATTGCCATATTAGCCAGTACCGTCAATAAGAATAACTAGACACAGGTGTTCGTTCAAAAAATGCGAAATATGGGACAATAGTTTTTGTGTGCCATATTTGGTACGTGGTTTTTCATATTGCCGCAATCACTTGCCATCCTTATCGCTTTGCTTGTGACGCACGTGGCTAGTGTTTATCTGCGCTCCATCATGAAGGCGTGATCCGTGAACTTATCTTCGTGCCGCGTTTTATCGGGAAACCCCCCTCGCCAATAAGCCGAGGGCAGCCGTGGGCACCGGGGTAGTAGTTCGCCATCTGTACGGCGGTTCACTTGTTTCTTTCGGGCGCAGGTCAGCCCAGTGAAATAAAAGATTGTTGCGGCTTGCTCCTGATACTGTTGTGCACGTTCCTTCATCGTCGCGGCTGCGTGACAACTGGTGGAGGTGCGGGGTATGCACCAGGTCCCTGAGCCGACAGCTGCACGGAAGGACGAGGCCCCCAAAAGCAGCGACGCGACTCGCAGTAGCCGCCGCCTACAAGGGTTGCCACCGTAACCCGGAACACTACCGGAGTGCACTCGACAGAAAAAAAGAAGACTCGACGTCAACCATGAGCCTACCAGCTGCGCCCACCCCTGTCATCTTGCAAGTCTCGAGTGCTTCCAACCTTCCACGGCTCACTGCAGAAGATTGGCTCGACCAATTGACTCGGGTGGCTTCACTAAACAAATGGGATGACGAGATGAAGGTGAGTCACGTTTTCTTCGCACTCGACAGCCCCGCTAAAACGTGGTTTGAAAGCCACGAGGCCTCTGACTACGTGGGAGGTGTTCAAGACTGATTTCTTGAGGACGTTTACCAACGTGCTGCGCAAAGAAAGGACTGAAATTCTGCTACAATCGAGGATCCAAAAGCCTAACGAAACTGTGCCTATATACGTCGAGGAAATGAAGCTCCTCATCCGCCGTGTGGATCCGAACATGGCAGAGGAAAAGCAGGTTGGGCTTCTAATGCGAGGAGTAAAAGAGTCCCTTTTCGCTCGCCTAGTTCGCAACCCGCCGAAAACCGTTGCCGAGTTCACGCAAGAGGCATCCACCATTGAGAAGACCTTAGATTCTCGAAACCGCCAATACAACCGTACAACGCACATAGCTTCCATGGACCCTCAAGCAACGTTTGCAAGTACCAGCAACTTGCGTGAAATAATACGCGAAGTCGTCCGCGAGGAGCTGCGGCTACTTATACCATCACCCTCGAAGCCTCCAGAAGCGTCACTCACGGATGTGATACGCGACGAAGTTCGCATTGCTTTGGGTGTTTCTCGGACGGCCACTCCATGTCAAGAAAACCGCGGAATAAGTTACGCTGCCGCAGTACGCAGCCCAAGGGGTACCGCCAACATGCGCCGTGAGCATTACGAACCACCCCAGCGATCGCCGTCACCCGTCCACTCACCTGTTTTTTTGGAAGCGCCGCGAAAAGCAGACCTCTGGAGAACCCCTGACCAACAACGCTCACTATGCTTTCACTGCGGTGAGCCAGGCCACATCCTCAGATACTGCCCTTACAAACGCATGGGACTTCGTGGTTTTGCCCTCAACGCACCACGACCGCGACCCGGACAGCGACCACGTGAAGTTGAAGACTACTTGCGCCGTGCCGAGTATCCGCCCACCCGTCCATCACGATCACCTTCTCCGCCATACAGCTGCTACACATCGCCAGGCCGTGGCAACGCGGCGGCAGCGCGAGGAAGGTCCCCGAGCCCTCGTAGGGGAAACTGAGTAAAGCAGCCTTAGGAGGCGAGGTTGCTTGCCGGCGAATGGACGAAGAACCTCCACTGATCATACCGCACGACGACGGCGCCCCGACGGAGACAACACGGCTGCTACGACGACACTTCACACTAAGCTCGACGGCACACCCCAACCGCACTTGCAGCACTCGCAGAAGCCGTGATTCAACACCAAGACTGACGTCCAACT